GCAAACTCTCCCAGGTCTCTGCTCACATGTGCTTTTCACACTTCTCTCCAGCCTCCCTGATGAGCCAATGGAACATGACAGCGACTCCATGTAGGAAAACCCAACCAATCACCTCGCAGAACGTTCAGAAGCCTCAGATCTCCCGTGTTGTCATATGAACATGAAGGGGACACATTTTCAAAGCCACTGAGCCCCGACCTTCTTCACACATACGCAGGCCAACTGAGACACAATGCTGAACCTCTACAGATCCGCCGTTTTGAGCACCTCAACCACTCAGCTGAAGCCAGCAGCACTACCTGCAGCTGAGTAACCTTCTGAAACCTCACCAAAGAGCAATACAAGTTGATTTCAATAGTCTTCTCATGTCTTCTTACTGACATTGGACCGTGTGTGTGTGCGTATTGTCAGGGCCACAGCCCTGTTACCACAAACCTTTGAGGATCAGACCAAAAATCAGAAGTGGACTTGAGCTCTGATTCCTCTTGGAGCACCAGCAGCTGTTTTTGTTGCCTTACCTTTGCCTTAATACCAACATCAGAGGGAAACTTCAGATCATAAATTCTTTCTGCCACATTGCTTCTCATATCAGACTCGAACTGAGTGGGATGAAAAACAATGCAGAACAAAACTACTGTATACCATCAGGTAAAGGCGTATATGCTTGATGGACACGATGCAAACGTAGCACCATGAAGAAGTGGCCCCATCATTAAGAAACGAGATTTAAAAAAAGAGGGACCTAGTTGCTGCGTCTGCTATAATGATGTCATTACCTACAATTTAACCACTAGAAGAAGACGACAAAGCAAAGAAGAGGAAACAAAGACACAAAACAAAGAAAGAACGGGCAGTTCTTCATTGTTTTATTGCACTGTTCATTCCATAATGTGAACCATGAGAAATTCCAAAGCTCTGGGAAAGAAAAAACAAACTTTTCCTCTCTGTAGATAATTTAAAGGTTTTTTGAAGATTTGGATGAAATGTTGTTTGATATCTTTTTCCAACTCTTCATCTGAGATGTCTTAAATGGTCCCTGACTGACTGTGGACACGTCTGGGCTGAAATACTGTAGAGTTTAATTCATCTGAAAAGTAGGCAATATTTTCAAAGCAGAATTATTATTTACTGCTGTTCAGTGTCTTACATTCATGTGCATTTAAAAGCCTACACACACACACACACACACACAGCAATGACGGACTATCGATGTACCACTAGTATTCAATACTGTGTATTATTGTTTATATTTGAGACTAAAGGAGTGTTCATTCCACCGTGGCACCACTAAGGACCACTGTATTGTTCTATTGTAGTAGCAATACTGTTAATGCACTTAAAGGACATCACCCAAAGAAAATTGCCTTAAAACAGCCTGCACTTGGTGATGGGACTGTGTTGAAGCACCGCAAGGGACCAGTATGGATACTGCTCCCGCAGCGACTTGACTTTTGTAAAACAACGTTTAAACCTGTGGATTTAGATGAACATCACATATGCAGTCTTTTTGTAAATTGTTTGATTTGGTTAATGAGTACAGTGACTTGTTTTGTTTTTGTTTTGTTTTTTGGTGAATATTTAGTTCATTATCTATAATCCATCACAGCCTAATTAAGGAAATGAATGCTATGTTGAAGTGAACTTCATTGTGAGAATCTTGTTTTCATTCAAACTGTTATCATGCAATCAGCCTAGGCAACGCTACAACACGTCAGTCCATCATCTAAGCTGATGTTTGTAATTGACATGTTGTCAATCATTTGACGTTTGTTTTTTGGGGGGTTGGACCACCCTCTTAAAGGAGCATATAAAGGGCTCGGCATTCCAAACAGTCAAAGTCCAAGATTGTGTTTCTTCGTTTTTCTTCTAGGTTATTTTGTAGCAAAATCTAGTTTGTTAAAGTATTTTTTTCCCATCATATGAGGTTTGACCAGTTTCACATTTTGATGACCAGTACTAATGTTTTTAGTTGAGCTTTTGAAGGTAAAGTGTAAAGTTCAGACCTCTGTTAACAGCGAATAACTACTAGGATTCTTAACTGATCAGTGCAGTCACTCTTTAGCTTTGTCTAAAAGTTTTCTTTGGTTTTTTTACATCCATGATTTGATTGATTGAGCAGCACAATTAGATTTTTTTTCCCATGATTTTGGTGTTTATAAGTAACAAAGAATCGTTTTTTTTTTTAATCCAGGTAAAATAAAAAACTGTTTAAGCGTTTGTTTTAATCAGACCCTGGGCACACTCTGCCTGACAGGAGGCCTCAGAGCTTTTACCTTAAACAAAAATTACAGTGGACACCAAAATGTCTTTTTTTTTTTCCTTTTTTTTTATTATCCCAATGTTGCTGCAGTACACGTGTATCTCAACAGGAATTATTGAGAAAATGTTGCACGGAGGATCATTGTTCTCCGATAAATGCAGCTGGTATGTCTTTCTTGTAGAGTACCAGAGTATTCTCGACAGCAAAGTGGCAGCATTGAAACGCGATGCTGCGTCTTTCTTAAAAGAAAGTAAAGTATGAAGTCAACGTTATCTGACGTGTGTGCGTGTGTGAGAGAGAGTGTGTTGTTATTGCATGCACACTAGTACATAATGTGCATGGATTTGCAAGTGTTAAACTGCTTGTCTGTGATTCTGTAAATGACCTCTCTTGTATTATACTCGTGTTTTTGGTCTTATGTAGAGGCCAGTATTGCCTCAGCTCTTAATTCCCTTTATTACTTATGTAATTTGTACCTTCTTCTTAAAGAAAGACACTGTAAATAGTAACTCAAAGACCAAAATACACGTTGCACATGTGCCTTGATGCATTCAGTAGTATGTGTATTGGTAACTCTTAACTAACTGGACGTACAGTAACTCTGTATCTCTAAACATGACATTGAAATCTTTATTTCATACTATTCTTTATTATTTACTTATGTTATTTTCTTACATTTCCTACCATTTGTATGTATAGAAAGATTGTCTATTTTGTACTTTTGTCTTTTCCTCTTGATTAAAAAATAATTTCCAGTATAAGCCCTTGATTTTTTTCCGTGTCATTTGTTTCAGAAAGTTATATTTTCTGCAGAAATTAACACTAATAGTGTACACTATACTGTGAAAAACAAAAGACCCATTGTAAGAAAGGAAAATACACCTATGACAAACAGAAATTATGAACATAATGGACTCATTTAGTCTGAGATCTGCTAGAACTGTTTATCCATTTAATACAAGTTTTAATAAGTGTATACATGCAATATCACTTTTGATAATATATATACTTTACTAAAAGTAGCGTTTAGCTGACGGACCTGATTGCCCCCACTCAATCTGATGATTGCATTTCTAAAAGAAGTGCAGTAAATCTGAAATACTGTATATAAAAGGTGGACATTTCTAGGTCAGAAAAGTAAAAAGATAATGGAAGTGCCTTAAATTTGCATTCTTTCTAACAGTCAGCAGGGGGCAACTTAATGATGCTTAAGGCTCTTTTGTCTGCTAGCTCAGTAAACACTTTCCTTTAATTACAAAGGAAATTACAAATTACAGCATTCTGTTTGTTTTGTAACTTATTGTTTCCATTAGCGAGAAAAATGGGAGGATAAGTCAGGCTCTGCTATGCCATGTCAGTGTCGCTAACCTGTGAGGATGTAGTGTCGTAGCTGACAGCGAAAACATGTCACTTGATATTTAAGAGACATTTAAAAATACTAAATCACTTAGTTTCAAGTCACACCTTTCAGATGGTTGTTATGGTTTGTAATTGATTGCTAACCAAACTTGCTAGCACTAGCTTAAAACTTAGGACTTCATCTGTTCATCTGAATATCGTCACTTTTCCATCTATAAGTCCAGCACGATGGCTGCTAACAAGCTAACACTAAAGATTAAAGTTGCTGGTGAGTGTATTTATGTTGTGTCAAAATCATTTGGGTTTATATTTTTCTGTAAACCACAGCACATCAGAAGCTGTAAATTGGGGAGCTACATATCTTAGCAGACAGATATCACAAGTCTTAAGATCACGTTATTCTTGTTTTATTTGGGAGCTTTGTCATCACTGGATAGTTTGCAATTCAGGGTTTTTGTACCGAAATTCTTCACTTAGTTTTATACTGTATGTTCCCTTGCGATCATAAAAATGAAAATAAAATACTCTTACATTGTGGTGCAAAAGCTTTATTCATTTAGTGTTTGTTAAATCATCAAGTTGCAAAACAGTAACTCTACAGCACAACTGAGATGATAAAGCTATAAGTTATTATTTAGGTCTAAACATACTATAAATATTTCCTGAGCACTTAATTGCACTTTAACATGTTTCTTTTGGGAAGAATTAAGTGTTCCTGACCGGGCAAAGGCACACAGACCTCGTTAAAAAACAGAAAGCAGGGGGAGGCAGGAGGAAGGAAAGGAAAGGAGACAGTTTAACAAGAGAGACAGGAGACAAGGAAGGCGTGGTGAGAGTATAAATCTGTGCACCAATCACTGAAAATAAGAACTTCAAGAAAGTTTTGCAGATAGTTTTATTTTTCAGGATTTTTCTGTTTATGATGCTGTGTCAGTATGTAAAGCATCACACTGTACACATTTCAAGTAATAAGTCATAAAAACAAAGCCTGATTTTAAAGTCTGAGAAGTGCACAAGAGATGGATACGCTAATGCACTCTGAAATGAAAGCCTGGCTTCGACTACACAATCTTTTACAGCGACAGCTATAATATCAGCTTCTTTAAGGTACTACAGAAGGAAAGTGGTCAAAAAATGTTCTCGGTAAATGACGGCACTTTGTATGTATAGCTGATCCTCGTTTTCCCACATTACTCTGAAGCATGACATACAAAGTGCATACGCAGAAAGAAGAACAAGGAGCAGAACAGAGATTCAAAAGAAAGATCACAGTCACTTTATTCAGCAGCTGGTCAGACAAAGATAGACATATTACTACTGTAACCACTTAAACACATCGGCATTGGATGTTGCGTATATAAAAATAATTCAAAATTCCTGTTTCCAAGTAAGAATGGCATTAAAGGCAGGATATAACTATATGTTATTCTAAGGCATCTCAAGCGAGAGATGAGTCACTTCCAGTTTCAATTTGATCCATATATGAAAATTTAGAATACAACTTGAATTACATGACAACATAGAGAATAGGCAAGGCCATGCACTCATTTTTAATCTTTGCATTTCACATAGAAATGCACAGGGGCTGCTTTTTCTCTGTTGGCCCACAACTGGATTCTTTCTAAATGTCAAGTGTCTACTAACATGTCAGTGAAGTCTAGCCTTCAGAGACCGCACTGTGCTGACTGTGGGGCTCGGCAAACATCTCCATAAGTCTTTAAAAGAGCTGGAAACATTAGCTACCTCCCTGGGACGTCCTAATGATAGGTTGCCGGTCTTCATGTATTTTGGCAGTGAGGGGAGAAATGGATTGTCATGGATGTGCTTTGAAGCCAAACAGCATGTCAGTCCTGTTGTCTTGAAATAACTGTAAACCTTACACTTAATGTTCATTGCATCTCACAAAACAAAAGCCTACAATATTAGAAAGAAAGGTATATCATTTGGTAATGATGTGTACTCCAATAGCATTTCCCTAGTGGAGCCAATGTATTGAAAAAAGTGTATTTTTTTTAAGTGCATAGTTGCATGTGTGCACCTCTACATTTGTGTGTATAAATCAGCTCTCACCTCCTCCATCACTACCAGTGGTTTATGGGAGCCCAGCAGGGAGCCACATCAGCCTTCCCCTTTGATGGTGACACACATGATTCATGGCTTTCCGAGACCGTTTGTTTTCATTACGCCTCCTCGTCAGCTCGCTAGCTGTATCGCGGTTTCGTGCAACGCAAGCAAATTCAGGCCAGAACGAGAGGAAAGAATGTCAAGGGGAGAGGTTTTTTTGGCACTGAAAGAAACAAAGGGGCTAGGTTTTGGGATGGACAAGAAACTTAAGGCAGGGTGACGGACGGCCGTGGCTGTTTTTTTTTTTTTTTTCTTTCAACTTTTGCTAAGGTTCAGAGGTAGTCAGGGATTCGTTAAATGTCAGTGTTGGAAAACTCGGAGCTGAAAGACTACGGAAAAGTCAAAAGCCTGACAACTCTTGCAACATTCAGTATGGTGTTCGCAGTTCTTTCTTTCTTTTAAGTCCTCTGCTCTATAGATATTACACAAACCTTTATACACTTTCTACCTCAAGAAAGAAAGAAAGTTAAATAAAAAATGGCTCATTGTATGTAGACCTGTGGTGATGATTATGTTACTGATAATAGTGATAATACTGATTTTATTTAAGGTGATAAAATCAGGGGTGATGTCAATGATGATGAAACCAGCTGTCATGCTTCAGTACCTGAGAGAGCTGATGGGTCAGGGGGCTCCAGCAGAATTAGCTGTGCTGCTATGAAGCGTCAAAGACGATCGAGTCCTTAACCATCAGCTTGATGAAGCGAATGCATGTTGAATGAAAGCTTCCATTGTGATTCATGTAAACAAAATACACATGTTAAAAGAAAAAGAGAGAGAAAACGATCCCTAAATAAGCTAGCAGTCCCTGCTGCATTTCTTGAACTCATTGCATTTGCATTCGTGAGCAGTGATAGCTGCTTTGGAAAAAGCAGACAAGTGGAATGACAATAATCCACGGTTACATCTCATAAGTTCATAACCAGTCAAACAAATGCTCATGTGAAAGCTTCCTCTCATGAAGTGTTATGCTGTCTTTTCATTGAGGCAACCAGATCACAACCGAGGTGTCAAGTAGTGTGAATCCACTAGTGAGCAGACACAGTTTGGACATCTCCTCAGCCCCTTTGCATCATACTTTTTAGGCTTCCAGACAAGGCTAGTGACCAGCAGACATGGTTGACCAGGCTCCCTCCATCCTCCAGACAGAGAAAGCATAGCTCAGTCTCTCATGGGCCAGGTAGTTACATCCTGCCAGCTTGGTGTCCATCTCATCACTCTGCAGAACCTGGTACAGAAAGTCAATGTAGCGTGACGCCAACTTAAGTGTCTGGATCTTGCTCAGTTTGTCAGAGGGGAGCGTTGGGATTATTTTGCGCAATGAGGCAAAGGCTTCATTCAGAGATCGCGTCCGCTGGCGCTCCCGGATGTTGGCGATGACCCGCTGGCCGTGTGGGTCCTCGAGGCCGCTTGAAAGACCTTCAGGGCTGGGACCGGGAGCAGGAGAAAGGGAAAGCGGGTGATGCTGAGGACTCTTCTTGAGCTTTTTGGGGCCAGTAGGATTGTAGCTCTGAATGTCATCTACTGGCTTGACCTTGCCGTCGTCTGCTGACATGGTGGGTGTAATTGCGGAAATGTGATCCTCCATTTGGGCACCCATCTGCCGCTTACGCCCGGTGATCCCCGCCGTCGCAACCACAACAGGACAGGCGTTAGAAAGTGGTCGTTTGTTGTTCTCCTTGCTGGACACCACCCCTCCCTCAGGATGGTCATTTGAGTGTTCCTCCTCTCTCATGCTTGGCCACGTTCTTCTTCTATCTCCCCTCTTCTTTATTTCACTGTATCCTTCACTCTTATTTTGTCCAGTTTCCTTTAATGTCTCTCTCCACTCCTCCACCCGTAACAGCAGTTTCCCTCCCTTCTGATTGCTGTCGGGAACTCCCTCAGTACAGCTGCGGGTTTCTCTGATCTTCTGCTGGGTTCTTCTTCTTCGCCAACCAACTTTTCACGTTGTCATATCCAGACATGCCAAACCAAAACACGTAAGTAATGAGTTCAGTTTTGGATCAGCTCTGTCGCGTTACATGTTAAAAATCTCTTCCCGTACTCGGTGAGAGAACGCTGCATCAGCAAAGCTAGAATGTTCTCATGTCCCACTCCCAGTGCAGCATGTGAGACAACAGCAAACCGAATCAGACTTTTTAAAGCGAAGGGAGCATGAAGCTTTCAGCTGCCCACCCATCTGACTCACTGATTGGTCCAAAGGTTTCTTTTTCTGGGGGACAGCTGAGCACAAGACAACAGAAAAAAATGAATTCTGACTGATTGGTCGGATCAAAGGGATGAGGCGGAGACAAAGGTGTGCCATACAACCAAGTGAAACGAATCGCTCTGACGTTTCTGGTCCCAGAAGTTGCCCGAGTTTATAGGTTCCAGATTTCCTCTAAAGCAAGCCATTACCATCCCCCGCCTCTCGCAGACCGTTCTCTGTCGTCTCCTCTTAACAGTTCAGCACAGTCAACCCTTGCCTTCAATATAATTAAAAAGAAAAAAATTCATTAAAAAGAAGCTCCACCAATGTTTGTGTCTGATTATAAAGTTGGGCAAAGTTCACCTTAGATTTTTCTGCCCCTAGGTTGTTTTTTGTGCTTTACAAATAATGAAATGTGGTAATTTTTTAAAACACATTCCAAGCAGATGGAGTAATAGTTAAAACTTGGAGAAAAGAAAATTCAGCTAGTGTTGCGATTTCGGCCGTATGCAATGATTAAAGGTGTGGGATTAACAGGAACTGCTGTATATAATACTTATTAAATTACATAAAATACAATGATCTCTTGTATAAAGAGTTGATACATTTCCTTACAATACTAAAAGAATGAAGACAGAAGGTTCTTGTTTTTGAAACAATACTGTTTTATTTTACTGGCAATGCCTTAGCTGTAGTTACTAAACACAGACCTGGAGGGAGGAAGGAGCTGGCATTCAGTCAGCACTGAGGTCTAATCACAGCATTAAGGAAAGAATGAGTACTGTGAATCAGAGGCAGGCCTGTGGGACATTTTGTTACTTTCATCCACTGCGCTTCAGCATGCACTGGTCCAGATCCAACGTGGGCTTTAGCTCTCCAAATTTCTGGGTCAGCCTCCAGTACAGCATGGCCCACAGCCACACCCTGACAAGAGAAGAGTCTATTGTTAGCATTTTGCATTTCATAGGAAAGATGCTTCCCTCTGATGAAAACACCCGGTTCATGATGAGTTTCTTTGACACTCGCAGTTAGGACACAGAGCTGGAAATTCTCAAACTCTCCCCACTGAGTTATAAGTCAAGTCCACAGTTAGAAGAGAAACCTCTATTTTCCTGATAATAAATGATGTCATTTCTCTTGTGCACACACCACTGCTCAGCATCAAAGTGCTCTTTTTGCCACAGATTTTTGTTCTAGGGAATAAATACTGCTAAAACAGTTTTTAATCAGAGTATAGGATGAAGTCAATTAAATGTCTGGGATATTGATATGCTGAGTTAAGTAGCAGAGGGGTTTTTTAATCTGTTTCTGTTGCTCTGCTGTTAATTCAATTAACGGAAGCTGCACTAGAAGGGCAACAATGAGACAATCCCCATCTGCTTTTAAAGTAGAGGCCATCTTTTTTTCTCTCCTCGCATTTTCTTTTTTTTTTCCCCTTCACTTTAGGATCAGAATACCACACAATACCAAAATTGAAAGATCCACCTCTGGTGCCCTGTGGTTTTCACAGATGAGAGGAGGTTCACCCTGAGCACATGTAACAAATGATAAAGGATCTGGAGAAGGTCCACAGCAATGCCCGGGCTCATGCGGCAAGAGTATGCAGACAGTTCCTGGAGGATGAAGGATTGATACCATTGACTGGTCCCCATGCTACCTAAAATTCAACAGAACACCTCTAGGAGATGATGTTTTGGTCCATCTGAAATCCCCAGGTCGCACCTCACACTATCAAGGCCCTGATCCAGATCTGGGAGGAAATCCCCCAGGAGACATCTCATGCCCCGATATACAAGCAGTTGGGGATCATACCAACTACTGAGTACCAAATTTCAGCACAAAGGTGTCTTTGAAGTCACCTAGGTTGATCATTTTCACTTCCATCAAACGGCGTGGTTGTATTAACTTGAAAAAAGAAAGCAACTGGACAAAATAAAACAAAATAATTATTACTAACTAACAAAAAAACATCTGAGCAGACACGTCATGGACATTGTCCAGCTGCAGTGGGAGAAGGACACGTCTCTGTGTTACTATCTAGTTGCAGTTGTATCAGATTGCAGACATTGTCAAACCCAGTCCACCTTTTCCACAGTGGATTTAAAAAAACAAAACAATTTATAACAAATTAGTCTACAATTCATCTTTGTGATGCACAATATAAGTTATTTGTCCTGGTAGGCTCAAACAAATAAGGCTACCAGCCATCATGAAGACATGATCTGAATCCTTTGATATGATTTAAAATTAAATACACATAAATCATTTAACCCTGGAGAACCCATGGGGTCAAATTTGACCCCATGGGTTCTCCAGGGTTAAATGACTTAATTTAAATGACTCTGTTAAGACTATTCTGCTCAGTCATAGCCTCTTCATGCTTATCAAGATCAGCAGTGTCGGATGGGCATATCTGCTGCTCTGTAGCTACAAGAATATTATTCAGTATTACACAGATCATACAGAAATTAAAGCAACTGTAAATATAAAAAAGTTGATGATGTGGTTCTGTGCTGTTTTGGTCTTTTTAGTTAAAGAGAATGTAACAACCACAAAAGTTTCTCTTCTGAATGTATGGTTTTTAACAAGATATGCACTCCTGAGTATTTATTTAATGAAGAGCAGCTTGCTGCGTTTAAGGATCATGATTTAAATCACTATTAGAAGACTCAATTTACAGAAAAAAAACATGAACCTGACTGATGAGATTCAAATGCCCATCTGACAAGAACAACTGTTTACCCATCTTTACACACCCAGGGATGGAGCAGTCAAGGCCTGCTTTGTAATTTCCCACTAAATCACAAAAAGCAGTAAGCCACTCTCTGATGGGGAGTTTAGCAATGAGGGCTTGATCGACACTGCCTCGCTAATATGTCCTAAGAAAAAACAGAAGTCTTCAAAAATGTGCCCGTCTCTGGACAACCTGTAACAAAATGGATCGAGGGCACAGCCAGAAACACAGAGCTTCAATTGCAATACAGAGAATTAATCAACTTTGCAGTTGAGATAACACCAGAGAATGATCTGTTAATGGAGTTAAGTACATATCAAAGTGATTATAGTTTTGTATTCTCTTATTAGTTTTTTTTTTTTTTTACTTTTCTCTTTTTAATTCCATTTTATTTTAGTTAGTTTCCAGCAGGTTTGCCCATTTCACTCGAGTTTTTATTGTTTGAAAATGTCTCTTAAGTATTATTGTATTTATGGCAAATGCTTGATGCAAGATTTAGGAAAATCAGTATGAATATTACAGTGTAAACAGAACTTTTTTGAACTCACAGTCTTTTCAACATCCAGGTCTACATTACTAAATTAACAATAGACTTTGGCTGAAATGGGACAAATTGGCAGGTGTTACAAACCATGGCTTTTTAAATGTGTAAATAATACAGTTAACATCAACCGAACTTTGCACATAAAAAGAGACACGCACACAAGATGTGTCATCTCTTTGGATCTACCATCATGCAGTAAATGAGCAAACATTTTCAGTGATTACATTTAACAAATCCTGATATATAGATCCTTTCTGTGGCAATCACCTGTCTGCTGTTCTTTGCATTTCTACCTGAGACATTGAAACTGACTTTCAAAGGTCAGGTTCAATATCTAGTTAAAGACTAGATTTCTCACACTGAACAAGGAAAAGGTGGAAAACTGTACATGAAGTCATTAAACAGCAAGCAAAATAGCAAAAGCACTTTTTTTTTTATAAAGTCTTTTAAATTTTGTAAAAATGGGCATTTTGTTCACTATAGTTTAGGGGATGATGATTAAATATACAGCAGGTCATCTGCTAATTGGAAGGTTGGTGGTTAGATCTCTCGCGTGTGTGCAAGATGCTAAAGTCAAATTGCTCTGGGATGCATCCGAGTATGAATGGGTGTGCATGTTAGATCGAAAGAACAGCGAATGAGACAAGGTGTGCGAAGCGCTTTGAGTCCCCAGATAGAAAAGTAAAGTGCTATATATATGTATGTGTATATATATATATATATCAGTCCATTTAATATGCCCATTTCACTTTTCCATTGCTAAACTGTAACATCTACAGTTACCGGTAGCAGTTTTAGAAAGAGATGAAATTAATATTTAACAGAATTGAGTTTAGCTTATCGGTGTGCCCCTCCACAACAGTCCCAGTTTCCCTTTGGGGGAAATTAAATTCCCACCCCTGCTCTTGACTGAAGGTTGCACTTGGTTTTTCCACTTTATGCAAAGAATGGATCAAATTGCTAAAACTGTGTCTTCATGAAGCTCTGACTGGGGTTTATCCGAGCTAACAAAAAAAAGAAGAAAGAAACCCCTTGGCTGTGCTAAACTTGCTTTGCAGTCTGGTGTGGTGACAAGAAATATTTATATCAAAACTTGAATTACCTCCAGCTCTGATACATTGTTATCAAATTTAGCTTCCATAAACACTCGTGTGCACAGATTTCTGCCAAACTGGCTGAACCCTTTTCATCTTCTTCTTTCTAAACATCAGACCATGTGTCCCGTGTGTGGGCTCTGAGACACCTGTAATGGATCACAACAATTTATATATCACAGCTCACTTCAAGCTGCTCCTTGCTGTCTAAAAATAAATAACTCCAAGCTATGGTGGTGATGGAAATTAATATCAGGCCTAAATATAAACATATAAATTGGGGCAGGGTATAGGGGAGAGGCAGATCGTGCGTGCATGGGGAGGCCTCCCAGATCCTGTGTTTGGAACGAGAAAAACGTGGCGTACCTTGTCCGTCTGAGCTTCATGCTCAAATGAGGACTTACCATAAATATTTCCGACAACAGAAATGGGAGAATGTTATCAAACGCAAAGGTTGAATGCACACACATGGCACACGCATGTTCAAAATACATGGGGTCTTTAATGTGGCGTGTACAGTCTTAAAAATAAATA